GCTGTTGAAGAGAGAGGATCAAATTAAAAATAAAAACATATGTTGGGTGCTGTGCTTGTCTTTGAATGTGGTTACCTTTTTGACTAAGTGCCTAGTTGCCCTTAGAGATCATCATCAATTCTGAGAGGTGCAAGTTTGCTCTGTCTCTCCAGAGGCATTTCAAATGAAATGGTACATCCTAATTCAGCAGCTTATTTCTTTCGGCAGCTAGGAATGAAAAGGCAGCAATTTAATTTAGATGCCTACAAAAAAAATTAAATACCAGGGAAGGTACACCTGGGTGCCTATCGTGCTTTTATACAGGGCTCACATATGGCTTGAAATAGTAAAGTGTGAATGCAGCTGTTTCTGAATTGTTTTTGAACTAGAAATGTCAGTTGTGTGTGAAAAAAGCAGGTGGGGGGAAAGAATAGACCACTGTCAAAAGATGCTTCCCCCAATGGCTCTGCCACTGCTGCTTGCTTCCCCAAGCTCCATACCAGGAGACATTTCCTAACAAATCTGTGCTTACACTTATTTATACACCACATGAATTTATGCATCCCCAAGGGTAGCCTGGAGGGTTGCAGAGTCCACCTCCATTTGAAATTTATAACCAGTGGTAAATAGTTTCTGGGTCTTATTTCCTTCTCATGCTAAATGCAGCTGGTGCATGGTGGACCTGGCACAACAGCAGCACAGGCTGTGCTTGTGCACTAGTCCTCAGTGGGGATTTTCCTAATAACCTCAGAAATCTGAGAGATAAGGGTGTGGGAACTTGGGCTGGCTGTGAAAAGGGACAGGTAGGAGAAAGTCTGAAGGTAAAGTACAAAGTAATGGGCTTTTTTTTCCATTTTCTGATACATGTGTTATTAAAACAGCAAAATACTCTCACTTCTTTAGTTTAATCTTGACAATGAATAATCTGTTCTGTTATTGTTTTGTATAATACTGTTCTCTTAAATAACTGTGATATAGGCTCTATATTTTTTTTCTGTTATGTCGGCTACAAAATTTTGTCTTCAGATCCTTACCAGCTAGCATGCATTAGAGCTACCACTGTGCATTTATATGTACCTATTCTTAGTGTGTGTGTTTGATCATCAGGAAAGCTGATAAGCAGCAGTAACAGCTCACTTTGGCTTTGAATGAAATTGTACAATTCACTCTATAAGCCTGTATTTGATAGCATTATACATACATGGAATACATGATAAACCTTAAACTGCACAGGGTCTTTGTAAACTATGGTCTTATCTTGTCCTCACTCTGGGATAAATCTAAAGGAACTCCACTGAGATTGGCTTACGTATTGATTGATTGACTTGACATGGAAACTTTGAGCAGGATTTTTATAAATAAAGAATCACTGAAGTGAAGAAGCTGCATATGTGGATATGTGATGTCTGTCAGGTGAACAGGCCAAAAGTGAGGCACAGATCCTTGGACTAAAATGACCTTAGTGGCTAGAAAAGAAATTATTCATACATACTTCTTTTAACATGCAAGTCAGATCTTCAGACTGTATTGTAAGGTAAAACTAAGAATATGGTATGTAATTCATTTGACAATCTACATAGTCAACTTCTGTGCTCAAATAAAAGATATTAATAAGTACAGTGTATATAGAAGAACTTGCTTGGGGATACAAAACTTTGTTCTGTAAAGTAAAAGCAAAACATTAGGAGCATCGAAATGCAGTGCAGGCATTTGAAATTCCCATCGTGGCAAAACTGCAGCACAGGCGTGTGGCCACGAGAGGGCAGAGAGAACATTCGTTTTACAGCACGGTTTTGGAGAGAATAATTTATCAGCTTAAAGAACCTGTGCTGTGGATTGCCTAAAAGCCTGCCGGAGGAGTCAGAAAATGTAAACTACAAAGTTAGTTTAACAAAAGCTGTTTCACGAATTTTCAGTGTTAACAAATTTTGGTCACACTGAACTTTAAACCTTTAAATAAATTGTTCTAGACCAACTAAATTAAAAAAAAATAATAAATCACAACAGTATTTGATGTAAAGCCTGAAAAGAGCATTTCCTGAAGTGTGTATTAAACAATCAATGTTATTACTGCTTTATATCTTTTGCCTTTTAGCACTGACATAAGGATAACAATATACATCATTTCTCACTTCAATAAACAGCTTGCCTAGGCTCTTTTTGGATCTGGCTGCATCTGTAATTCACATAAAATCATGGCGATCAAAATCAGTGAGAAGTTCAGAGAATGGCATTGCAGTCCTCTTCACTTAAATGCTCATATCCCTCTGCTTTCCCTACCACAATCTGGGGGATAATGTGAGTTAGAGAAATGACTTTCCTTCCTACCTCGCTGAGCTGGCCTCATGTTTTCTCAGCCCACTGCCATTTAGGTAACAGAAATAGAGATTTAACCACTCAGAAATGATCCTTCAATTTTCTGTTTCCTCTGGCTAAATTACATTACACCAAATACAGTTTATTCAGAGGCATATTCAGTTTCAGTGTGGAGAGGTACTGCTTTAATAACTGCCTCTGCAAATCTTCATCTTTTCTGTATTAATCAATGGGAAGTTTGAAAGAGTTCTGACATCAGGCCATATATCTGCCAGAGTCAAACACAAATGACTATTTTATGTGTCTGTCAGAGCCATCAAGTGACTATCCTTTGGGAGCTGAATATTTTGCTTAAGAAGGCAGACTATACCTCCAATTCAAGAGGTATCTTGTTGCAGGACTCCTTCTCTTTGCCCCCATCAAAGGGGTAGTATTCTTTTTCCCACTTTCCACATAGCTTCCCCCAGCACAGGGACACCTTTGACAGGCCTTGATTGTAGGATTGTGGGAGCATGTATTTAATAGGCCACTGAGGTAAGAAATAAAATCTGTGGGCAAGATCTCATGAGTCAAAGACAAGTAAAAATGGCAGGAACTCATGGGGAACTCATGACAAAACAGCTTCATATGCTTACCTACATAGCTTAGTAAAGCTGTCAGCCTGTAACTGACATTTTTTGGACTGGTTTGAGATTGGGATCTCATCCATGTGTACAAATACCTGAAGGGAGGGTGCAAGGAAGGCAGAGCCAGACTCTTCATGTGGTGTCCAGTGATGGGTCAAGAGGCAGTGGGTGCAAACTAAAACATGAGGGGCTCCATTAGAACATCAGGAAATATTTTTTTACTGTAAGGATGATGGAGCACTGGCACAGGTTGCCCACAGAGCCTGTGGAAATTCTCTCCTTGGAGATATTCTAAAGACGTCTGGACATGGTCCTGGACAGCCTGCTCTGGGTGACTCTGCTTGAGCAGTTTGGTCAATATGACCTACAGAGGTCCCTTCCAACCTCATCATTCTGTGATTCTGTGTTCTTGTTGTATCCATCTTCCCTACTCTTTCATCACATCAGTGCAGAACAACCACTGTAGTCTGGTCAGGGGTAAATACAAAGAGGTATTATGGACCTTAGTCCCCCCAAACAATTTTTTCCTAAAGAAACTCACTGACCTGGAGATACAGGTGTGAGATGATCATATAGCAGAGATACATCCAGATTCTTGGCAGGCAGTGATAGATTTACATGTGGGGAGATCTCTTCTGTGTTAGGATTTGGAGGGTACAAGTGATGACCTAAGACTTTTGCTCCCAAGTCAGCATATCCTCTATAATAACAAATAATGAATGTCATTCCCGTGGTATCTTATAAACCACAACTCCAAATCTTCCATGGTATTTTTGGAAGGAAATAATAGCATTTTTCAACTGCAGAGTAATTAATTAAATGAAGGAAAAGATTATTCTGAGCCTTTCCATAAATTTGGCTCTAGACTAAGATGAAGCTTGAAAACGAAACACTGAAAATATTATTTTTCGGAATATATTGAACTTGTGAACCCTGGGAATTACTGACAGAGCTATAGCACTTGTACGTGGCACAAACATTAAAGTATAGTTCACTTTAATGTGATGGCCAAGTCACCCGTGTTAAAAACCAACCAGTGGTCCAAAACCATAATAAACCAATTACCAGCTCTCCTGGATGATAACACAACAGTCCATTTAATCCGTATTCAGAAAAGGTATTTATGTATTATCACTTGCCAAAAGACTTGCTTCCAGCTTTCTTCCTACTACTTTTCCAAGAAAAGTAGGATCTCCAGCTAATTTTACCCTGCTTGGTGAAAGATAAAACATAACAAAAACATTCTCTTCAAACGCATCCATTTATTTTGACATTAATTCATCTCAAACAAAAACCACATTGAGAGGAAAGAAAAGGTCAGCAGAAAAAAGTAAAACAGATCGAAATCTATCACTGTGTCTGTCAAACATGCAGGCAGAAACATCCAGCAAACCAACTAACCAGAATCCAAATTCCACTGGTGCCAGGTCCAACTATTTTGAAGGATGTTGTGAATCCCCCTACACACACATGCACAAAACATAAGCAAAGAATATTGCTATCTCTGAGAATGGAAATAAGAAGTTGCAGTTCACAGAAGCCCTGATGTTGTGCTGTCTGTCTTGTTGGAAATGTTCTAGTCTCAGCCAGTTTGTGAAGAATTCGGTAACACCCCCAAGACTTCACTCAGTTCCTTCCAATTATATTTGACATGGTCAGAATTTCTGTAGTGAACTGGCTATATTTTTTGGTTTGGTCTGTGCTTTTACTGCTTTATTCAGGAAAGGTATGTCATGATTTTGGCTGGGATAGAGTTAATTTTCTTCATGGAGGCTTGTATGATGCTGTGTTTTGAATTTTTGATGAAACTAGCAGTGAGAACACCAATGTTTTAGTTGCTGGAGGAACGGGGAGAGGGGGGGAGTTCAGAGTGATGGTGTTTGTCTTCCCAAGAAACCATTATGTGTGACGGGCCCTGCTTTCCTGGGAGCAGCTGAACACCTGCCTGCTGGTGGGAAGCAGTGAATGGATTTCTTGCTTTGCTTTGCTTGCACACATGCCTTTTGGGCTTTTGCTTTACCTAGTAAGCTGTCTTTATCTCAAGCCATGAGGTCCTGCACTGTTACCTTTCTGATTTTCTCCCCCATCCCACCTGGGGAGAGTGATTGAGCAACTGGGTGGTGCTCAACTGCCCACTGGGCTAAACCACAACAGGTGAAGCAAACCATCAGCTACTTGAGTCTCAGATCCACGCCCCCAAGCATGCTGTAACATCCTCCTCCTTCATGCTGTAGGTAACCCCTTGCTAACATCACCAGCTGCCTCATTCTGTGTATCACCCTGGAAGATCCCTAGCACTCTCTCACTGTGATGTCAAATAGTACCAGAACCCCAGCCTACGCATACTCACAGTGTGCTGCACTGAACAAGAAGGTAGGCTCAGTTGGTCATTTTGCTCTGTATTGTTTCTGACTAACCTGTTCTGCAGAAGACAGGCAGGCAGTAAAGCTTGGGAATAGAGGGGCTAATCCCCAAATATTGTCCCCTGCTTTGGAATAAAATCTCTCTGGCATTTGGTAAACACTGCATTTAAAAGTTCATTACATTCAGAAATTAAATTTTATATATGCAGGATTCCTCAGGACATTATAGTTTTTCTGTATATTCCTGCCTTTCCCCACTGGAAGTTTTTCCTAACCAAAAGGTTCACAGTGAGATAATTTATTGTCTTAACCACAGATTTCTGAAAGCTCTGGGGCTGAAATATGAAGGATTGTGTTTCCTGCTTTGGAAAGACATCATCCTGGAAACTAGTGATTTCCTTTGGAGCTAACCTATGTGAGTAATTTCCCCTAGATCAGGAAGGACTTGGGATTTTGGTCCTGCCACTAACTGGCTCCATCTGTCTTATTATTCCATCATCTCTCTCCTAGAGTTACTCTCCCCTACCTATTGCCAGCTCTCTAGCCTGAATGGCCTCACTGAGCTATAAAAAATGAGGTTTCTACTGCAGAAGAGTTGAGCCAGTTTCCCAGGGAACAAAACTGGACAGAGAATGGGGGTCTTCTGCCGACACTGGACTGTGTCTAGAGAGAAGTGTTTCCAGGCATAGGGATACCTCAGTCATTGGTCTGCATCCTGCTGCTCACAGTAGTTGTCAAGGGCTGTGAAATTCTGATTCCCAACCCAGCCACATGGAAATGCTCTATGTACAATGAACTATGTTTCTGGAGCTGAAGGCAGGCTTTGGGATTTAGGTGGTGTCATTGGACAAGTGTCGCTGCAAGGACATGAGGTGTATAGATGCAGAACCCTATTGATGAGGGCTTTATTATTGACTGGGGCTTCTCAGTGTGGCCGGTGTTGGTATAACGGGTCAAACTGCAGGTGGGTGTAAGTACATTTTGGAGCTGAATGCAATGAGATCAGAATCTGGTTCTACAGACAACAGTTGAAATGCCAGGAGACTGATGAAGTAAAACTGGGGCACAGATCCCTGCCTCAGCAGACAGCTACTGTCATGGAGCTCCAGAGTGTCGTGGCTCCACTCGAGTGGGCAGTCAAGCTCCACCACAGCCGCTCTCTCACTTCCCCTCCCCAAAGAAGAACGGGGAGAAAATATGACGAAAAGGGCTCCAAGTTTGAGATAAGGATGAGAAGATCACGCAGTAATTATTGTAACGGGCAAAACAGACTCAGCATAGGGAGATAGTAAGATTTATTGCTTATTACTAACAAGCTAGAGAAGTGAGAAACAAAGGAAAGAAACCAAAAGCACCTTCCCCCCCTCATCCACCCTCTTCCACCTCCTCCCCCCCCCGAGCGGCGCAGGGGAATGGGGGTTATGGTCAGTATACAGCGCTTCTCTGACGCTCCTTCTCGGTCACTCTCGTCCCCTGTGTTGTGGGGTCCCACCCACGGGATACAGTCCTTGGTGAACTGATCCGGCGTGGGCTTCCCACAGGCAGCAGCTCTTCCAGAACTGCTCCAGATATGGGTCCGTACCACGGGGTCCATCCCTCAGGAGAAAACTGCTCCAACCTGGGTCCCCCACGGGCAGCAGCTCCTGCCAGGTCACCTGCTCCTGCGTGGTCTCCTCTCCATGGGCTACAGGTCCGGCCCAGAATCTGCTCCGGCAGGGGTCTTCCATAGGCGGCAGCCTCCATCGGTGCAGGACCACCTGCTCCACCATGGTCTCCTCCACGGGCTGCAGCGTGGAACCCTGCTCCACCGTGGTACTCCATGGGCTGCAGGGGGACATCCTGCTTCACCATGGTCCTCACCACAGGCCGCAGGGGACTTCTGCTCCAGCACCTGGAGCACCTCTCCCCCTCCTTCTTCACTGACCTTGGCGCCTGCAAGGCCATTCCTCACTCCTCTCACTCTCCCAGCTGCTGTGTGGCGCAGCAATTTTTTCCCTGTCTTAAATATGCTCTCACAGAGTCACAAAACAACATCGCTTATTGGCTCGGCTCTGGTCAGCAGTGGGGCCCTTACCAAACATGGGGCAGCTTCTAGATCTTTCTCACAGAAACCACCCCTATGGCCCCTTGCTACCAAAACCTTGCCATGTAAACCCACTACACAGAGAAAGAAGCTGAGAATTGTGGCAGTTCCCTATGTATACAACAAGCAGGGACATAAGAGCTACCAGTCATATGCCTCACCTGATATTCTGTAAGCCAGGAACATGCTTCCCAGAAAGGTTAGTAAAGCTGGATAGAGAGGAAATTCAGGTAGGCTCTGAAAACCGTGGACTCAGGACTTACAGAACTATAGCAGTTGTGCTGGAAGGAAAGTTTGGCTTCTATTTTTTTGTGCACATAAAGATTGTGAATCAACAAATCTGAATATTTTTCTCTTTGCAAGACAGTAGTTCTTGAACCTGAGTAATCAGCATGAGATTCTATAGAAGACCACCCAACGCTCTAGAAACTGCCAGCATGACAGAATTAATTTTATTTTTTTCCCTTGAACATACTATAGCGGCTTTTTTTCTTACGACACATCTGGCCCAAATGCCCAGGCATCCTAGAAGAACAGTTTCAAATATTTTTTAATTTGTTTCCTGTTTTAGTAATTGGAAGTGAAATCTTTTGCATTTCACTGGCATATTCATGAAGAGAGCTTAATGAAAATATCCCATTTGTCAAACTTGGCCAAAGTCAGGATCACAAACATGTACCAGTGAGATGAATTTATGTTGCTCCTTTCTCCGTGAGTCTCTCCTCAGACTCCTGTTGCCATTGTAAGCTATATATCCAAGCTGACTAAGCTACATATGCTAGCAGACTATAAAATGCAGAGCAAATTGATTGAAGGTACAAGTCAAAATATATGGAGGTAGAACAAAGGCCTCTCAGCCTTCTCCACGTGATGAGCCATTGGTCATGAGTCAAAAGGAGCTTTGTCACTGCTTGTGGAGAGCAGAGTGAAGGCAGTGCTTCCCTTCGTACCCATAAAATGTTACTAAAAGTTATTACCCTACTGGGTATATTTCTGGAAAACCTAGGATTCTGCCATAAAAAGTAGGAAATAGATGCAGGGGAATGCTCTGCTAGAGCATTCCTGTTAGAGGAAGAGGAAACAGTAGTGCATCTTCACATATAATTTATTTAAGAAGTTCCTGGTGTTTTTTGACAGAAGACTCCCAGTGCTGTGAACCAGAGTTTCAACAAGTGGAAAGGGCAAGTCCCAGTGCTTTTCTCTTGCACACCTGAGCAACTCAGAATAGAGGCAACTTGTTCAGATACAAACACCTGCATGTGGTTATAGATGGCAGAACACTGAACCTGGCAGGATATTTGTGCTGACCTGGTATAGCACCTTTCCTCACAAAGAGCTAATCAGAGCCACCAGTGTTGAAATACAAGTGAAAGGAAGACTAGAGCACTCCTCAGCACAGAGCTAGAAAGACAAAAATCAAGGAAACTAGGAAAAAAAAATCTCTGTGAAGCAGTATCACCCTTTACAGTGGGACTGGAAAATATCCAAATGATCACAAATGAGACTTTCTGAGTGCAAGTCCAAACTTTTTCAAGTCATTATTTTTAATTTTTTTTTTCTAACTCCTACTCATCGGTAACACAAAACAACAGTATCATACCTCTTTAATCTGTCTCTTGGTTTTGTTTTATTCTGTAACCTGGTACAAAAGACCAGTAGCTATAGTAAAAACAACCATTGTTTCCAGTCTACACTTGCCAGAATTAGGCAGAACTCATCTGTGTTTCTTATTTGGGATCCAGATGCACTGAAAAACCTTTTGCTGATTTGGTATTTTATCCCTCTACTTTCTCCTAGACCCTCAAATACAAAACATGATGATGCATGACCAGCCCCGCTACCACAGGGAAATTAAAGGAACTGAAAGCCTATCGAGAACCTTTGAGTCCAATGAGATACTTACTCCACTTCAAATTCCTTCACGTCTAACTGTCTCACAAGACAGGTAAGAACGGAGCTCACAAAGAAAAATTATTTCATTAAAAGTATTTGATATCTAATTACTGTCACCAGAAAGCATTTTTCTAAACGTTATGTTTTTATGGCATGATATATTTTTTCTTTTCATTATAACCTTGTGCAATAGTCTGTCAGTTCCCTGGGAAATAAGTTGATTGCAAGTGAAAAGAGGACTGATGAAATATATTATGCTGTAAGGCTCAAAAATCTCTTGAAATAATTTTCATAAAGAATAAAGACAATATGTATATTGCATTACTAACTCAGAAAAAATGTACATATTTCACAAACTGATCACCAACATTTATCACATTACACTTTGATCTACTCCTGTTTCAAACCTTTTTTTCTAGATTGCAAGTTGGCCTAGAATTAGTGAGATAAAACTTTAAAATTAAAATTTAATGACATGAAGCCTGCTTTTTGCTTTGGTAGTTATTAACATGCAATAAGAAAGTTTCAAGAATCAATGCATTATTGTGTTTTACAGGACCAGTCAAAGTGTTAGCTAGGGGTCAGTATATGGCAGAATTCCTGCAACTTTTAAAGTTCTGGAAATCTGAACCTCTAGTTGTTCAGTACTCATGCCAATTTTATTTTTTTTTTTTAATCTAAATTTCTATTTTTTACATACACAACATTCAAGAGTTAGACGTAAGTCCATCAGTGTTCTTTGAGGTGAGATTTTATCTCTGTTGCTAGAAAACTCAATTCTGATTTTTCATCTTACCTACAGCCTTCTGTTTTACTACTACTGCTAACTTCTGTTATTTGTAACATCTCATATCCAACATCTGAATTCCAGACAGAGTATTGTGATATTGAATTATCATGTCTGTCAAACTATCTTGAGGCCTCCCACTTATGTATCTTCCCTGAGTCAGCTTTTGTTGTTTTAGGTCTTGTATTACAGGAGTCTGGGTGAATTTCCATCGGAACTGTTTTAACTATTGTCCGACTTGAAAGTCTGCTGAATGTTAGGCCCAGTTTCAGTGAATGTACAGGAAAGATTCACATTGGCTACACAGGATACCAATCAAAAGGAAAATATAAGCTCAGAATTGTCTGCATCATTAGGATCCTAACACATTAGTAAACATCTTTCATATTGCTACTGTTTTAGTAGCAATACAACAAACAAATAACAAGCACAGACAGGTTATTTCTTTCTGAACGGGAAAACCTGTATGGTAACACAGAGAGTGAGCTACACTTTTCTGCTAGAGTAAATCCACGCTCCAGTGAACTCACCAATCTATATTTGAAAAGGTGCCTGCATGTCTTAGAATGTCATACGCATTTTTAAACGGTGCATTTTTTTCTAGTCACATAGTGATAAGCACATAAATAAATAGAATACAGTTGCTGTCAGCTACTAAAAATACTGTATCCATGAATTTTATTACATTATCATCTTGGATTAGAATATTTGTCACAAAGATTTGCACTGATAAACAGCCCTCAGCATAACCAGAGGTACATACATGTATTTGTAAAGCCCTATACGTTTATATATGTACATTAAAGGTATCCCAAGGATTTTTCACTGTGATTAGACAATCAGATTCAGGTTGATATACTAAGACAATGTATGTAGTTATTTGTATGTTAGTTGGACAACAATAAATAAAACAAGGTTCTTTTTCCACTCTCCCCCTCCCTCCAATGCACTGAATCCCAAATCAATGTTACTCAGTGACTACAGCTATGCTGGCAAGTACAGTGGAGTACAGAAGACCTGTAGAGTCACAGAGTTGGTGTTGGAGGCCTGAGGTCCAGAACAAAATGCATTTCATGTTCTTTCTACTTCAGATTACCTCTAGTGTGATTCCAGGGACTAAATGTTGTAATACACTCCCACTGCATTTCTGGAGCATGCCTTGCAGTTAACTGCATCCAGAAGGAACCTAGTTCACATACTCCAAGCCAAGGCACTGCAGAATACAGACCATTGGAAAATTAATGTCAAAAGTGTATTCCTGATCCAAATGAAAATGCCAGTGTGAATGCATCCCATGTGAACTCATATAGGATCAGGCCCTAAACCTCTCCCTGTACAAACACACTTTCCACAGACCTTCTGGAAGCTGTCAGCAACACACTCTCAGAAGCATTGGCCTCACATGCTGATCAAAGCAGTTACTGGAGCCCTTCACAAGCTCACAGTCTAAGACACTTTATTCTTTTCCTTTTCCTCTTGTGTTTTTTTTGTTGTTTTTTTTTTTTTTTTTTTGGTCAGAACAAGAAAGATAAAAATTTAGGAGTCAGCTTTCAGCATTCAGAATAAATCTAGAGTCATGGAATTCAGAAATGGAAAATCTTAATAAGTCATTGACTATATTGCTGAGACTCTGAAGTTCACAATATACTCTTTAAAACTCTGTCCACCTGAGACCTCATTTGATGTTCTCTGGACAGAAGCAGTCATCTTTAATATCACTCGATCAATATCAGCTTTTTTTTTTTTTTTTTTTTTTTTTTTTTTTTTTTTTGTGAGAATGAGACTTGGAAACATTTTAAGCTTAAAAGCTTAATAGAGTCCTATTTGGACTGAATGGGTGATCAGCCCCAGAAATCTGTGTGTGCAGTGCTTTTCCTTACTGCCTAAGGGAGAGTGGTTGTTATGCTACCTAGTAACCTGGAGATAGCAAACAGGAATGATTTATTAATGTTTCCAGCGTGAGTCCACTTAATGAATACAAATACCATATCCATGCAAATGATATGGCATCTACCTACATTAATAAAGAGAAAATGAGGATTTAGAAAGAATTTAAAAAACAGATGCTTGTGTTCCTTCAGAAACTTAAGCCTTATGATAAACCTCAGAACATCAGATTTTTATTTTTGTTCATCCTACAATACAAATGAAGAAGTACAAATGTACAAATTTTTATTTTAGTTCACCTTACAATACAAATGTATTACCCCTTGCATCATGGTAGAATGGATAAAGGAACAGCATCAGGTGGCAGCAGAGAGGTCCTGATGCCTGAAGAAGAAACTAAATGACAGTATGGCACTGTACTGCCAAGCAACCACAGAGAACAAACCATCATACAGCAGCACTGTGTCCGTATCTCATACATCATCATCTCTCATGGCAGAGAAGTCCAAGCTAGCTGGGAGCAAGCTAGGATATGTGTGGTTCACCAAGTCCAGTGCTGTGATAGCGGAGCAGTGGCTGCACCACATTCAACAAATGCTCTCCTACTGGTCTGCAACCATGTCCAGATGCTTCACTTATCAGTAAAGAAATACCTAGTATCAGCAAAAGGAGGTAGCACAGATGAAGCCTAGCTACATACAAGAATCAGGGTTATGCATGATGGAAACACTGACAACAGACAGATCTGGCTGCTAGTTCCCAACCCAGTAACATAAACATCATGCTCTCTGGTTTCATAGGAATGAATACGGCGCATGAATAAAAGATCCTGAGGGTGACCATGCCTATCACATATCACAGCAGTTCATTAGCTCCTTCTGTTTTCAGAAAATTCTGCACAACTAAGTCAAATTTATAACACTTATTTTTGCTCTTATCTCTTTAATAAAAGAGCCTATCTGTATCCCTGGCAGGGAAACTGCTGCAGTCCAAAGGAAAATGAAATTTCAAATTTTCTGTGAGTTTGGTGCTGCTCTTTAAAACACTTTTAACCAAAAACATGTGGGGTGATCATGCACCTAAACATGTTCAACTCCTTGATTTCAAATGACACAGATATATGAAACTGTAATGCACGTACTTTTCCACTAGCAAATTCATTTCACTACATGTGAAGTACCTGATACAGCTAGCATTCAGTGTGAATTAGAGCTACTAACTTTACGTGAATGGAATGGAATGGAATAGAATAGAATAGAATAGAATAGAATAGAATAGAATAGAATAGAATAGAATAGAATAGAATAGAATAGAATAGAATAGAATAGGTTTAGATCTGTTGGAAGGGACCTACAAAAAACAGAGTCCAACTGCTTGACCACTTCAGGGCTAAAAAGTAACATTTCTCACCCCTCTCTAGAGACTGGTCTAGAGAAGGTTTTCGAAGGCACAAATAACAAATTCATGAAATCAGTGGAAATTAGATGCTAAAGCTTCCACCTGTGACACTGTATATGTTCACCCACCTGTGACATTGTATATGTTCACCATCCATATGCCACTCAGTAGTATTTACTGAAGGAACAATGCAGGTATTTGTGTGCAGGCAGCTAAGATTTATATTGTGAGATGCACATGCTGCATGTAAAAGCTTCTTTCTTCTCTCACTGATCAAAACATAATAGACTTGATTCAACCTTCATTAAAGAATTGACAGTCACTGTTCTACTTCTCCTAGTGCCAGTTCACCAAAATAGCATTATCCAGAATAAGGCTGAGTAACTCAGAGCCAAGAAAATTAAGCCAAATTTTCACTGTTTAAAAGACTTCAAGCAACCATCACCTTTGCTGCTGTTAAAGGGTGTTTTGGGGAATTCTTTCTTTCAGATATAAAAAGTTCAGGGAATCCCTTTACTGCTGCAAGCTTCCTGGGGGATTACAAAGTGTGCATGGGGGAACTGCACTACCTGTATTGCCAGAAGACCAGAGGGCAAAGGCCAAGTCTCCATGCACAGTTGTTAGAGGACATTACCATTTTGGTAGTGCTGTTGACCCTTGTCCAAGGTAAGTTAGACAAATACAATCAAAATGTTTAAGTGAAGGGATTTTAGCAAGAATAGCAATAGACACGTATTGGGTTAGACAGCAATTTAGCCTGAGACATGCAAATATCTGCATTCTAGAAATGGAGCAATTTAAGCTTCTACCCTTTTTACAATGCCTGAAATATTAATGTGTGAACATATTGGTACCCACAAATCTCCACAGAGCATTTTGTTGAAACACTTAAAATTCCAGATCTCCATACTTCATTTATTTTTTTGCCCATCATTTGGTAATGATTTACTGTTGGCTGTTGTCCCAAACACCCTTCCTGGCCTTTAAAATGTCACTACTGGCCTAATTTACACGAATGCTCAGCATCCACAAATCCCATAGGCATAAAAAATGAAAAGTAGGCACACAGCTTTTTTAGAAAGCTGTTGTAAAAGCCAAGATCTGTCTTCATCAGACAACAGATGAGGGGAACAGATCTGGGGTGTGCTTTCTGAGCCAGGGCTCCTTTTCTTGGCCTCTTAGCACACACGGTTTCCTCTCTAACAGCTCCACTGTCATGTCAGCTTTCTGGATGCTCTTTTGCTGCTACTTTTTTCAGGAAACTGCCACTCAGCCACACATGATCCAGTCAGGCCCAGCTCAGCAGTGTGTCTCTCACCATTCCTAGCTCTGCACCCACTAGATAGCCACTGCCCAAGCCCAGCTGAGTTCCAGGCCTGTCTGCCTCCATCAGCCTTGCTCTGTCCAGGCCCTGTTCTTGACTCCAGGTTTGAACACCAAACATGAACCTTGCAGAGAGAAGTTTCACTGGAGACAATAGCAGTTCTCATTGGCCATGGGCCCATTGGAGGCCTGAAGCTTTGATTTCACTTGGCATGTGGAGTGCCCACCAGTTTAGGGTTGATACACAGTCAGTACATATGGCATCTTGCACACCAAGTCATATTCCCCACTCTTCCCTGCCAGGTCAAACCCTACCCCAGTGCTTTCTGCCTATACACACATACACGAGCATCTCTGGTCCCAAATTGCACTTGAGTTTAGCTCCTCCTTTCTCTTTTCCTGACCTCAACCTTAACCTTAGACCAGATGTCTCTGTTTGCCCAGATAGGCTGAATTACTATTGCAGTTATCAGGGAAAAATGTCAACAGACACCCTATGAGGCCCAGCCTCAAATTCAGTTCATCAGCTTGTCAGTTAAAAAATAAATCCCAGCTCTGACCCTAATCCACGGTCTCTGCTGAGAGATCTAACATAACCAGCTGGCCCTTGCTTGAGTCAGCCCCTCAGCCTTACTTGGTAACCTCTTTGAAAAGAACAACTATAAGTTTGGCTCATTGGCCCTTATAATTTTAAGCCTGCTTGTAACCTAAATAATCCTTTCTAGACCTGTAAAACAAACTCTCTAGATACAAGGGAGTACAGTTCCTCAAGACAATACACAAATCTACACTCTTGCAGCTGCAACTCTGTTTCTCTGTGAGACAGGCACACAGCATATCTTTGGTTCTTCCTCTATGAGTTCAGAATATAATAGGGTTGATGCCACTTACAGTGAAAACAGTTCCCACAGCTCCTATTGAATGTTAGGTGTGCATGGTTTGGAGCTATAAGGGCCAAGCTTTCACAGATGGAAGTACTCAGCATACTCAGAAACTTCAGATTCAGGCACAGGTGCTTGACACCTTTCAAAATCCAGCCCTGCATAATTTAGATGTTGAAACTGTGAACAGATTTCCACATGGGCAGCACCTATGAGTTGGGAATTAAGAATTACCTGAGAAATCATATACATATCATAAAACATATATATTGATTTGAATTTTTATGAGAATATAAGAATATGAGCATATAAAGCACAAGTGTTCTACATTTGCATTTTCTCTTTGCACAGAGGCCTTCCCGTTGAGCAGTACTATGATGTCACCCTGCTGAAAAAAAGTGATGTGCGTATGAATGACGATCTGTAAGTTTAAACTGTGTGCTACCCAGATTGTGAATTTAGTGAATTTATCAGCAAACTGAAAATTCATTCCACTCTGGTGATACTATGCATACGTGATATGAAGTGCACATATGATATGTGAAATCTGAAGGAACGTGTTCTGTAAAAAGGGATAGGCTAATAAATAACAAACAACAGCAAACGCAGCTAGAAAGGAAATTCAGAATATGGCATTGTGCCCCTTCAGTTTGGTATCTCTTCAACAAGGGTCTCTGAATCTGTTTTACAGATTTTCCATATTTATCAACTTGTAATACTCAAAAATACGGTCCTTTCTGCTAGTTAGAATCTAGATTAAATTGAAGTAACTGCAGTAACCATGACACCATGTGTATTTCAGTCCATTTTTCTGGTGTATATATAGAGAGAGATGCATTTAAGGAGGAGGGTTGGCAAGGATTGTTTTTCTCACTGCTACTGCTTAAGAGAAAGATTGAGTGAATTTGGATGGGGCTGCACTTCTGCAATCCAACGTTTTGCCACTTGATGGCACCAGCAAAACATTTAACATTGCTCAAACTACTGCAATTAATTTAAAGTAATTTAAAGTTTAAATGTAAATTCCTCAAATGCAGGAAATGAACGAAGCTACACCTCTCATGTCAGCGTTAATAGCTACAGCACATTAGAAACCTGAGAATATTTCTGTGATTATTTTTTCAATTATCTTTATAGGGCTGTGAAGGGTATTGTTTGACCTCCACCAGTCTCCGTTTAGCCCCCCTGCATGTGAGGTACCTGCTCCCCGTTTTGTGTAGACTCAGCACACTCCAGAAAAGCAGGAGAGCTAATTGTAAACAAGCCACAGAAGCTACACAAGGAAACCTCCCACCCTGCTCTTTGTAGTCCACTGCTCTTTGCAGGCTTTTCTTTTTACTACCTCATTACAGTAAGCCAGCAAAAAGAGATGAATTTGTTTACCTCCAAGAGTGCACAGGCCAAGACTCCTTCATACTGGGATAGCATATGGCCTTTCACCAGCCATGCACGTTAGAGCTATTGGCTGTGCTGCTTTTGCATAATTTGATTACAAGCTACAAGGAAGTAGCAAGTTTCCTTGCAAGTTTCTTCCTGCATATCTCCCAAGCACTTAGTGACAAGAACTGGCCCATGCCCTTTTGAAATTGTGCATAAACCTCAAGTTTGAGATGTACAACAGATGCAGAAACAGGCTCACTCTTCCTTTAACACTGACCACTTACATGAATGTTTGCTTCTTTTATGTTGCATAGCAAAACTGGTTGATTCTGTTTTATTTCCTAATCCATCCCCAGGAAGACTCCATCAAATGCAGTGGAATACCAGAAAACAATTTGGCCTACTGTGACTTACTAGTCAAATAATTGTCCTGTTACATGACATGTCTATTTGTATCCATGAAACAGCAGAAGCCCAGGCAGATTGTGGAGTAAAATTTAAAACTGTTCTTCGCATAGGGTAGGAGTGTTTTCAGTAATTCCTAGGCTGCTCAACCTGAAATGCATCTTGGTAAAGGATGCTCTGAGACCTGTTCACTTCACAGCAAGAGTTTTCCTTATGCCAGTTGCCTACCAGAATGGAATATCCACATACTCAGGCAAGGACATGGGACATTTCTGGGGATTTGATTCAGTAAGAGGAAGTAACCAGGAACTGCTGTAACTATATGGCCTTGCGCTGGCTATATAAGAAACAAGGAGGTTTTATATAAGCATAGGTTAGACTCTGCCCCCAACACATACTCAGAAGTACACAACCTTGGACACTGAATGTTTGATCATTAGCACACTGATGTACTTTCTCCATTATTTTGCACTCACATCTTCATCTGAAACATGCTGGGTCTCTAAAATATATTATGGTTTATGTTTTGTTCTGGTTTAAACTTTTTCTTTTCTTTAAGGTTATATTTTCTCTGTCTTTTAGAGACCTTTGAATTGAAGGAAAGAGTGTATCCTTTAAAATGAAAAGTGAAACATACACCAAATACATCTGTCATGTTCATAGTTCAAGGTCTTTCAGAGAAAATATTCTTCCTGCTGTCAGAGACTATTAAGCGGTGACAGCCACACGGAACCTTTCCTGAAAAATGCCCACTGAGTGCTGCTCTGCAGGTCTACTTGGGAGCTGTTAATACTCAGTTTATTTACCTTATAGCCTGTGAGGGCTCCTCTGAGCCATTACTGTCTTTTGCGGGAAATGAATTACCAGACATTTGCAGTAACTCTGTACACCTTCATGAGACAACTATGCTTTTGCCTTAAATATGCACCCTACATATCCTTGTGCAGTCCTGCATTAGAATGAATCACTTGGTTTGCCCAGATGTACTTTCGCAAGTGGGCTACATGTGCCCTCTCTGTCAAATGTACTGGAGAAAAGTAGCTGCCTACTTCCATCTAAAGCTGTTGAGTCCTCACGTTCACATCAAACAAGACCATAAAAATCCTGAAAGGCCTTGAAAAACATCCTTGAGCCATTGCTAGAACCTTAGCAACACACACACACTGCACCAGGCCAGTGCATTTACACTTTCCTTCCAAAGACAAGTCACACCAACAAAGTTTTGGGTGCATTCAGTAGCACTACAGAATGGTTTTTCTCCATTGGGTTTTCTCCGCATGGGTTTTAATCTGTAAATCACGTATATCATGCCACATATCACTTCCATTCCTCTGCTTTTGCCCCGGCTCCCTGAGCCCTGGTTGTTCCCTGACCTGCAGCTCAAGGTGCCCAAAGTGCTCTCATTGCTAGGGAAATGGGACAGTGTCCTACGGGACCACTCCCTGGACCTATTCTGGAGCTTTCTAAACTGGCACCATAAGTCTCTCCAGCTCGAGCCTGACTTCTTTTCAAGAAGTGACGGACTCCGTATTCTTTGTGGACTGAACACAAAGGAGGAGATAATGATTACTGAGCAGCTGTGTCTTGTGTAACACTGGCAGACTCCAGTCTACCAGAAGTTCACTGAAAGCCTCTCAGACCCAAGTCTGGAAAAATTACTACTGCTTTCTTCCTCTCCTGTTGGAGCTAGACCTTTCTATAGTGCCATCCATTCTAAGTGGCTTCAGGACCAATAACGCAGTTTGAGTTTTAAAAATCTAAGGGACACTCTAAATAACTGGATACCTTTGAAAATGTAAAGCTTTGCTGGCTGTTACAACCTGAGCTCACAAAGCTTCTCTGAATCACAGCAGTCATGAAAATGCATAGTTATCCTTACTTTATTGCTGCCTTGTGTTATAATGAGAAGTGATCTACAAAGGTATTTAAACAGTTCTGCCATGATACAGCACAAAGGAGGCTTATTCTCCTTATACTTGCATATTTGTATCAGGAATATGTCCAATGAATGCAATGAAGAATTTAACAATGCACACTGTAACATAATGTGAAGGGAGAATAAACACTGAGAATTTTCCTCCATGTCTCTGAGCAATTTCTGTTCTAACTGTAGGAATGGAAAACCAATTAGAAGTATCTATGGAAAAAGCATCTAAAGATTGTTTTTCTGTAAGTGTGGCTATTTCTGTAAAAGCTTTCATTTTTCAAGACAAAGTTTGAATCAGAGTCCCAGATGATTATAACAGTATACAAATGGTTGTCAAAATCCAACATGTAATGTTTAAATGCTGTTAGCATCACACACTAAAAGGAAAGCAGATCTTTTGCTTAGCTCAGTTGAGGCATGAGTTATGTTGGCATGGTAATTTGGGAGATGTAGCACTTCATGGTGATCACACAGACTTCACAATGAAATGCATGAATACTGCTTAGTGTATCGGAACAGTACATGAACAAAATTATCTGGCACATGAAAGTTTTTCTTCAAAGGAACCATTTCAGTGTGGAAAGAAATCAGCGTAGGATTGTACTGGACTTCTTTAGGCAAGGGAGCATATTTTCTCTTTGTGCAGTATCTATTTTTATGGAGACCAAATTAATGATGGAGGAGCCAAATTGTAGCTCTTGAGACATGGGTGACTTGAACAGAGTTTGGGTGCAGCTCCCACGCCACGGCTATGTCATTAACCAAGTGACTGGGTAGTCTCGAGCTGTGGGAGGAAGAGTCCCCCAAGGAACTACTAAGGCTGAAATAAAGCAGTCTTCATGGAACACATTAACGTCCCACACAGCTCTGTCCTCAAATGGCACAGCGGGAGCTCTGAAGTTATCATCGCCTCCTGCTTAGGAATGATTCCTGGACATCTCTCTCCTCACTGGGAAATATGAAGGGTTTTGGCAATATGAAGATTTTGGTATATGGCCTGTAGAATCAAGAAACACGAACACCATACAAAAAATAAAGCTTAAGATTATCATCAGACAACTTCTCCTACCCATATAAAGACCTTTTCAGGCAAGACCAGGTAATTTAGGATTCCTCATGGAAAACATGAGGATTTCAGAGCTCCAGGTGATACACTTAGATTTTTTACTAGATGACAAGATCAGTAATAAAATTGTCTTTTTTTTTTTTTTTCCTTCGTTATGCCACACAGAACCATTAAGCAAAGTAATTTTTTTTCTTAATCCTAGACATTTTTCTGTCTTGGAACAATCACCAAGAGACTCTTAGCTAGCCTCAGTGATGAAATTCTTGCCCTTTAAATTTAGTGTTTTCTTTTGATTGCTTTTTAAAAATGCATTTGAAGCATAAAATAAGTCTCCATTGCAAAATATAAATAATTTATTATCATGGAATTAATAAGTACTTTCCCTGCAAGTATGAATAGGATACATTTTCTGTTTTGCATTACTGATTTATTTTTACTAATAGCATGTGCAGTTGTTAATTAATATAGAGTTTATTACACAGAAGTGTAAGAGGCTAGATTTTTTCCCTCACTCCTTTTAAGAAGACATTCTACATACCACTTGTTCCAGGCACTGTTTCAGCCTTTGGCACCTAGCAACACCAAACATTTCTCGTGGATTGAGTGATTCCAGTAAGAATATTGTCTGCACTGCTTACACATTGATTTGTCCCTAATGTATATTGATTGCACTGATTCAGATAAAGTGTGAGAGGTGCAAATGAAAGTGGACCATTTCAAGTAACTCGCTCTTTTTCTTCCCTAATACAGGCTTCATAAGCCGCCAAGCAGTTTGGCTAAGTAAGTACATTTCACCTTTATTGTACCTTATCACTTCCTTAATGAAATAAAAAGACAAGACCTTTCTCTTATAGCCATAATTGCACAGTGTAAGTTCCTTGGCAGTAAGCAGCAGCAAAAAGCTACTAGGCAAAAAGCTCTCTCTCAAATGAAGCATATAATGATAGGTTTAGCAAGTTAGCAGTGTTTGCCCAGCACACCCACTCTCCTAACAAATACTGATCTTGCTGACTTGCCTATGGGCTAATTGGGTTTCCTTGGCCGTGTTGTTCATGGCCTCTTTACCCAACGTGAATGAAAGTATGCAAATCTAATGTATGTATAAAGCAGATTTGTGGGAGGGAAGCCTAGGAAGAGCTCAGCTTGGTAAGAAAACTTATTACCTCATGATGGAAAGGCTCAGGAATGGATGAACTTGGCTCCTACATAAGGTCAAGACTTTGCTTTCAGCAGCAACTCGGGAAAGGCATTTGCTCTCAGTAAGCTGCTACATGCAGTTGTGGTAGAATTTAGAAGAATCCAAAAGGGGTGGATTACTCTTACTGGAATAAACTTCATTTAAACCTCTCATTTTTGTCAGAAGCCTTTCATTTGCCTCAGAAGATTCCTGTTATTTTGGGATTTTATTTGTTTAATTAGGCTGTTATGGAAAATTGTAAGCTGAAAAGGATAGCTACAGCAACCTCAGAACTCTCTGTGAAGTCCTAGTTCTCAGTACCCCATAAAACTCTCCAGTTTAGCTTTATCCTTCTTCCTCTCACAAATAAATACCTTCTTATACACAAATAGCCCAATAGTCCTAGTCCTAGTCCAAATGGCAGATGAGACTGCTTCTGTTGTGATGGGGTTTCTTCACTCGTTATTCCCACCACCATCACCACCATCTCTTTTCACACTGTTCCTCATGACAATCTTGCTTTACTTCCCCCTTGCACCTCTGTCATTTTTGGACTCTACAGGAAATAAATTTCCCCTGGAAAGATTTCTCATCAATTCTTCAGTTATTTATGATTTCTGGAGTGGGCACCTCTCTCTGAAGCGCAATCCTGCCCTGCATTCCATCAAGGGCAGAGTAAATCCCTGAATATGATGATATCCAATATGGTTTGTGATAGAGTCACAATAATTGTGTTGCTCTTAAAGACTTATTCATAGTAATTGTAGCTAACAGGAAGACTATAATGATAGAAGCAAACATTTTTACTTGCATTTGGGGTCTGACAGAGGCATCCTTTCTCCAGTTTGACTGGGTCTGTCTTTAAGGGAGAAATTACTATAACCAACAGACCCACGTCACTGTTGGACATGTCTGAGAGGCATAGCCACTGCGCCTTTGACTGGGGAGTGTCAGTGGCCTGGGTATGCAGTCCTACAACTTGTAAATGTAAATCTAATGATTCTCTTTCATGTAAGCAGACAATATAGGAGCAGGAAAGGGAATGATCATTGTGAATTCGTTGTAGGGTACAAGAAAAAGAGGGTTAATGAAAAAAGATATCATCTTTCTGCTTCTTACTTCTCTCCCAGTTCTTGCGAAGTGTTATATTTAATGCTAAAGCTCTGTGAAATGTGAAATAAGGAAATATGAAATAAGGATTTTTTCTTTCTTTCTGTTCATCCTCCTGTCAACTGAAACCAATCCAAGACCGCTGTGCCTGCCGTTTCCCATCTCTCATCCCTACCAGACACACATCTCTAGGTATGCCATGTTCCCAAACTTCAGATCACCTGAGGATCGAGACACCGGGGTCGATGCAAGCAATCATCAGCCTTTCCACCCCAATATCCCTAGCAAGCCTTATGATGTGGTTGTTCTAAGGAAGACCAAAGGTAAGACTGCTCTCTGAGGATTTATCATCTATTCTTGAATCTTGTTTAGAAACTCTGCCTATGTCTTCTGACTCCTTTCTAATGAAGCTCCATGAAGCTAGGATCTGAGAATAGCAGTGACCAAGCTAAGCATCTTGGCTTAAATTGGAGCTCTTCATGCTGATGGTTGCATTCTCCAAGGGAGATACCTCAGCACTGAGAGTGATGAATTAATGTCTGTCTCATACAAAGACCTTGTAGCTTCAGAAGTCAACAGTGTTCTTAAAGCTCTTAAATGGTATTCTCCATAAATATGTATCATTCAGTGTATCTGATACCTTCTGGCAGGGAAATGATTCTTCACAGTCTGAGGGAGTGGTGGGGAAAGGAAAAAAATGCTTTAAGAGGGATCAAAAACTAACAAATTCTGGGCAAACGCCATGCCTGCCATACCTTTGCTGAGGACAAAAAGTTACCCCTGAAAGAAGTGCTGAATGATTTAAAATATTTTATCACCATACAGATGGTGGAACAAGGTCTAGAATCACATAGTAACTGTTTTTTTACAGAACAGCATGTAAGCCATTATGACATGTTAGTTTTTAACCCCAGCAGAATTTTGTCCTGGGAGTGACTTACATAATCCACCAGATGAAAAATTGTGCTTTTCCTTGGGGACAGTCTGCTGCATTGGGATTCTGACAGGTACTTCATTCTGGATGGCTCTGCTGATCACCTGCATGAACTGATGAGCAGTCTTTAGCAGCGGTTGGTCACAGAGGCTTGGGGAATTTGGGACAGCAGAAAGCCAGCACCTCTCAGTGCCATGGCACTGCTCCTCAGAAGGGGTTTGGCAAAACTGTGGAACAGAAGAAGCATACACTGGCGTGTCTAAGAAGCTCTTCAGTACTGTAAAAGCTGATAATGTTAAGTAGTAGGTTAATTTGCACTAATGAGCTGCCATTCCCAGTCACTGCCACTACTGTACAATTATGTATATAATTGGATATGTGAGCCATTTTTTTGCAGGGTATTTGTCTATCCAAACGAAGTATCTGTCCACAGAACATATAATGCCAGGAGCAGTCATTTTTAGTCACTTTTCAGTGATCATTTTTCAATGTAAGAAACGCTAATCACATGTGTGGAGGTGGGTTTATTGCGACTACAAAGCCTATTTTTGCACAACAGAAAGATCATTGGAGGCCAAGCTCTATTTCCAGCAAAGCTTAGCAGGTTCGGAATTACAAGATAAGGGGGCAGCTACTGCTGGCACTCCAAAAACAACTTCACTTCATTTGATCAGGATGCACCACTCCTCACTGACTGAAGGAGAAACCTCTGGTTAAGAACAGATGACACAGATCACATGTGGGTGACTTTTACCACTGGAAAGTTGTGTTTAAAATTTTTCACAGCAAGGTTACGTTTAAATTTTATTTATTTATTTATTTATTTTTCCCTTTCTACATCTTGCTTCTGCAAAACTCAGAGTAATTATTATGTAATCAATTACAGAACCAGGGTGGGAAACAAAGCTCTTGCAAGCATACGCTGCAGTTTCATTTTTATCAGACGTCTAGAAGAATTCTGTTATACTGCTGAAGGTGACATTCTGAGTACAAAACCAGCTTCAACAATTCATGAAACTTTATTGATCTTACTGTTTGCTGCTGTTGTTTGTAAAAATCATGCACAGAAAATGCAGTAAGAACCTGCTGGTGTGTGAATTAATCCGGAGCTCCTACAATTGGTCACGGGCATCTGTCAGTCAGCTCTAGCAGGGGTATAAGATCCAGCGTTCAGCAACTTGTCTCCATCCCCTCTGCCTGAGACAACTATCTGGTGGTGCAGATGCTCACGTGAAGACTTCCAGCAAGGCAGGAGGGTTAACGTAGGCTGCCTAAATAGTTAATCTGATCTGATTTAGCTCTGCTGATTTTGTACTACAGAGTGAAGATGAGTTCTGTCTGCAGATCCATGAGGTAAGTCTCCCGAGGTAGAAAAGACAGCAGCAGCAGCTCCAGAAAGAACCTCTTCCACCAGCACAGCTGTCTATAAACTGAGCATAATATGTCTACAGCTTGATATGCAGATACATCTGTCATTCTGATCAATGGTGTTACATTAGAACATGTTAAATATATCCCCTTCAGGTAATCCATACAGGCATGAGGTTGTCAGCATTCCCCCTGACTCCCTGAAGAAAGCTTTGCACTGGCCAGGACAATACACATACTTCCAAGTAGGTAATTCATACAGCATATGGGGGGAGGTGTTGCTAAAGAAACCCAGATTACACTCTCCAGCCCTAGAAATAAATGGATTTGAGCAGCAATAGATTTTTGCTCCTTCTTACCTCTCCACAAGTCCTGCCAACATACTGACAGGCTGGTGTCTCTATTTCCATGTTCTGAAGGAAGCAGATTGTGAATGGTCACTGACTCTAACCTTGCTTTCCACAGCTGTAATGATGGAGACTAGGCTGATCCATGAAACAGAAGAGTGAAACCGGTCATGAATGATTGGGTTTCTACTGTTCTTCAGCCTAAACAGTTGTTAAACAGCTGTTCTCTTCCTAGGGGGATATAGCCTGCAGTTTGATGACAGATAAAAGCCGTGAAGAATGTAGCAAAAGACAGTGGTAATCAAAGAAAGATACAGCCTTTGGAGACACACAATCTTATGGATGTGGCAGGGGAAAATCAAAGTGGCAGTCCATTTTCAGGCTGTTATTGTGACTGCAAAAGAAACTTTATATAGCATGTAATGTTCAGCCTTGGTGTGGCTACCATGCCTAAGTTGATTCCAAGTCCTTTGAAATGAATTCAACTGAATTATGTGCCTGTTAAATCTTCCTATTTGAGTAGAAATACTGTACTGAAGATTTTTATTAGCATTTTCTAATACGCTAATTTAGCACACTATGGAAGGGATATTTTAAACTTTTAAAACATTGTTATTTTATTTATTTGGTTTATGCCTTACCTGTTTCTTCTTATCCTTCAGCTTCCTAAATTTGCTGAAGAAAAGGGTCAAATATACTACCCTAATCCACCAAAGATGGTGGCCCCTAATTCCACTTTTAAAGAGCTAGAACATAACCTCTCTCCAAGAACAACCAACATGCTACGAAACACTGAAAGGGCTCAGGGGATCACAACATACAGTCGGAACTTCACAGGTAAGCAATTGTTTTTCTTTTCGTTTACTTGGAATAGCGATGAAAGACCACAAGATGTCACCCTTTAATTCTCTCTAAAAAAAAAAAAAATAATAAAAAAGAAAAAAGTCATTTAGTAACAAAGGTCTCAAAATCTGTAAATTATCTGAGATTTTTCAGGGGGGCTGAGCACTAATTTTCATTTTCCTAACTAATAAAAATATGCGATAATAAAATATGTCTCCATTAAGGAAGAGGCCCTATGAATCCCCTTATACTGGATGACTATTACATGAAAGCAGTTGGCAGACTAACTGGAGAACTAGGTACAGACGTGGAACTTGTAAGTACTGCCTTTACTAAAAATCTGATGCTTTCACCACAGTAACATTGACAAGAATATTTCCAGATTCAACTAAAAGAATTAAGCCTTCCCTTTAATAATACTTAAATGCAAGGCAAGAATCACTCTAAGAGAAAGGGTAAAGTGCAGTATACTAAATGACTCCTGACAGAGCTACTTGACAGAACTTATGTAATGGATTAGTGATTTGTTCAGGGTATGAGGTGCTGGGGGTAGGTTACAGTGATCATCTGAATATTTTTTTATCTTATCATTTAAAGCTGCCACCAACTCATGACAGCAATTCAAAGGACCTTTTGCCTTGGAAAGCAGAAGTAATATTCTCCATAAAATGAGTTGGCAGCTCTTATGAACCGTGCAGTACTGCAGAGACTGAAACATACTGGCTAGACGTTTAGCTGGTGTTAATCAGCACAGCTCCACATCAGCTTATTGTCTTTACTGCACATTGCTTTATTTGATAAGTGGCCTAGTATCATTGCAGACTCCTATGTCCTTACTAACTACACCAGTTTAAGTTTGGCAGAGGTCCTGTGATTCATCCTTCTCCATTTATGTGAGTGGTTTGCTTTTTTTTTCCTTAGGATGCATCAGTAACTTTGCCAAATTCTGTTTCATTGCAAATATTTAATTTTAAGAACATAGGCATGAAAATAGATATGGAAACTCCATGTTCATTGTCTTCAAAAATTTTGATATTCAATGTGGCCTCTTAGAAAGTCAAAAACTACTATTTTATTAAATGCTACCCATGCAAACAAAGCATAACATTGTAGGTAGGAATAGCAAATCAACTTGTTTTGCTTTTTGCTAATGCATCATTACCTGTAATGGCTTAAGCCCTTTCAGTGACACCTGCACATTGTCATGCTGAGTACATACACAGTTATAATTGATTGTTACCAGCTAAGCAATTTTGCATGTAAAACAGATTCCTGCTCACCTTTTCACAGCACTGCTGGCTTTACAGTGCTTGCAGGTTCAAACTTCTTTGTCTCTAATGCCTTCATATGTGATTGCACAAATATATGAAAAGCAGCGCAGCCAAAGTAAGATGCTGTCATTTTCTTTGTTTATAGTCAAAAAAATTGCCCTGGATAAAAAGTCCCCAAATTGTTGTGCTTTTTATTATTACTGATTTTTTTTTTTAATTCAAATAAATTAAATCCTTTTTGAAATGGTATTAACTGAATTGGAAAAGTTGTCTGGCTTTTTCTCCAGCATGATAAAGAAACAAACGTTTTGCTTTGTGACAATGAAAACTTCAAAGAACACCTTCAACAGCTTGTCTCTGGAAATGAAAATCCAAACTAGCAGCTTACATTAATTCAAAACAGAGCAGTTTTATTGCCCTCTGGCTTCCCAAGTGTGATCAGTAGAGGCCATGCTGATTTATCTGAGCATCATTATCCCACTTAAAAGATACATACATTAAATATCAAAAATTCAGATTGTTCAGCACAGTAATTGCTGAAGCCCACTCTTTGGGTACAGGACTCAAACATACTTTGTATGAACAGTCCCTATACAATGTAGCTTTGTCTCTGCACTGGTATCTGAAGCCTGTGAAGAATCAGAAGCCTGAAGACTGTGTCCCGTGGGATCTCGTCCACTAATTCTTTGAACAGCTGGAAGTTGGATCTTCTAAAGTTCAGGGTGCTGACTTTGCTCTTAGCCAGGCCCATTATAGTCACTGTTTATACTATCACATTGTTTAGGAGACCACAAATTGGAAAACAGATGCTTGCAGAAAGAAAAAGAAAAAGAAAAAAAAAAAGCACAATCTAATTATATCCATTTGCATCTTGTACATAGGGATGGAGCAGAATATTTTGTCTTTTCCAAAGCATACAGACCAGCTCTAATCTCTCCGTGTGGCAGGGCAGTAATGACTGTCTGGACTGATGGACTGATTCCCTTTCCCAGCCTGTTTTGCATACTGTCAGAGCAAAGTATTGGCCAAGAGTGACAAAGTTCTCACACCTGGCACAGTACTCCAAGTTCCTAGGAATAATGCTTCCCTCACTTTCCACAATGTGGGGCAGTAAAGATAGACCCGTAACTGAGTAAATTTCACTAGTCCCAGAAAATGGTTGCCCCAATCCCTGCTAATTAGAGTGTTAATTCTGTTCCTTCCTCCATTAGAAAGAAACGTTTCTGTCTAGTCTCTCACAAGTGAGACCTCTTGAAGGGCGCACTGCACGTTTACTTCAAGGCCGACGTCCCCATGAATCTATTCTGCAAGAACAGGGCTCCTGCCAGGAGCAGGCCCAACCGCCTTGCCTGTATTACCAGAAAGATCATTATCTGGATACAGGGCTGCCAATAAACGAATTTCAGAAAATCGCTGACACGTGGCAAACAGAAGCATTGTACAAGAGGCAGTTTTCAGGAATGTCTGAACTTGAATCCCTTCCAAAATCTGCACATTGCCTTTCCTGTGAAGATATCAAGCCCAAACATTTGGACCAACATACAGTATGGGAAAACCCAGTCAGCCTAAATAAACCAGTCTTACCACAGGATGTAAACAGCGAGGAAAGAAGAATTGAATTGCACAACCTCTGGTACCAAGAAGCAAGTCAGCCTGCATGGAGACCAGAGAGGCAAAGAGAGACAGCACTGCCTGAATGGATCCCTGGCTTTGAGGTTCTTCAGCGCCCGACAGCACTGCTGGAGCTGCAGGATTCCTTCTCTAAGACAGCAGCACAAAAACGTTTTCATGATTCTATCAATGGAGAGACAAAAGATCTCAGAGATAACATCACTGAGGGAAGGAGACACAAATTCTATGGATTCAATGCTTTTTATTTCCATAACTGACACATTCACTGGTCTTTTTAAAATACTAACAAATTAAAAGTACTTCAATGTAGCATGTCTATTCTTGTGTACCGGTTATGGCTGAGATAACTTGTTGGCTTCATAGTAGCTCACGTGGTGCTGTGTTTTGCATGTGTGATGAAAATATTGTTGATAACACATCAATGTTTTAGTTGTTGCTGTGCAGTGCTTGCACAGGAGTAAAGGATTTTTCTGCTGTGCCAATGAGGAGGCCAGGGGTGTACACGAAGCTGAGAGGGGACACATGAATGACAACAACAACAAAATCACCAAACACATTATTTTTAAACATCTGAAGTCCTGTTTGCAAAGCCTTTCAAAAATAAGAACAGTGCAATAAATAGTAAGGTTATTGGAAAGCCACCTCATGAACTACCAGCTGGTTTTGCAAAAGGGATGCAAAGAATAAGTTTAAATTGCTGTTTTCTGTGAGCTAGGAGATCAGTATCACTGTTACCCAAAATTCGGTAACATAACTAATATTGGTTCAATGAATACCTTAAGGAGCTAGAAGCCAGGTGATGATTAAAAAAGCAGAAACAGCACATGTGCATTTGTTTTTGTTTGTTTGTTTAACTGGTTAATTAAAAGAGGGCCTATTCAATTGTTTCCCAGAGAGTACCTGAAGAAGGAGCAAAATACCTTTCTACTTTTATCAAGACTTTCTTCACTGCAGTCTTCTAAGATGTTCCATTGAGAGATCAGATATACTCCCCTCTTCCTTCAAGCAATTTTTCAGAGTTCAGGGTTATTAAAATCAGGGTTCAGCATTATTAAAATCAGGGAATTTGTTACTTAACAAGAAAGACACGAGAAACTGAGCTTGTTCTTTCTGGAAAGCAAACAAATAAACAAAAACCAACCAGCCAACAAAGAAACAAATAAAACAGAAACTACAACTTAATGACAAGTGTATAAAATATACTTGCTACAGAAAAGTCCTATCAGTCATTTGTATCATATGTCTGCAAGTTCCATAATGAAAATTTTTGTTTGATCAAACTCATAAAATCAAAATAAGGAACTTGGGAAGCACATTCTAATTTACTTGTTTAATTTTCTGCTTGGTATATGTGGAAGGCAGAGAGCTTAGTATCATTTAAAAAAAGGCTTAGAGGCAAATCCTTGGAGCATAAGAAAAATGTTTGCAACAGTTAGTAGATTTGGTAAGTGTTCTTAGTGTTATGAGACTGACTTCATGCTTTAGGATAATAGGCCCCTCTTCACAGAATCACAGAACTGTAGGGGTTAGAAGGGACCTCGAGAGATTATCGGGTCCAACCCCCCTGCCAAAGCAGGTTCCCTAGAGCAGGCTGCCCAGGTAGGCATCCAGATGGGCCTTGAATATCTCCAGAGAAGGAGACTCCACAACCTCCATGGGCAGCCTGTCCCAGTGCTCCATCACCGTGAAGAAGTTCTTTCGCATGTTGGTGAGGAACTGCCTGAGCTCCATTTTGTGGCCATTGCCCCTTGTCCCATCCCCACAAACCACTGAACAGAGGTTGGCCATAGCCCTTTGTCTCCCACACTTGAGGTATTAATACACATTGGTAAGATATGTATAAATCTCTCAGTCTTCTTTTCTCAAGGCTGAACAGACCCAGGTCTCTCAGCCCTTCCTCATAGGGAAGATGCTACAGGCTCCTCCTACAGATAAATTCTTCAAAACATTTGATTCATTAAAGTAATTCAAAAATAAATTTAAAATGTGGTAGTTTGACCAATTTCTTGCCATCTATTAGCAGATATTGAGGCCAGTGGATATTAGTGCTCTTGTATATTTTTGTCAGATGGAATCAGACTCTCTCAGACAATGCTCATGGACATTTATTATACCTCTTTTAGTCTAAGCTTTCCAGTAAACCCTATCAGACTATACAATAACATGAGATTACATTTGAAGTGAATTCAAAAAAGCACACCCTTTCATTTGTCTTTTAATTCAGTAGCCCTTAATTTTAAACTTATTTTCCAAAACCTAAAAAAAAATAAAAAATTAAGAAAAGCTAAACTTTTGACAAATTGCTACATCCTGAATTTCTGAAATTTAAAACTCCCTGTGAGTTAAATTAAGTAACTTTGGACTTGAATCCAGAATGTTCCCTTCCCTTCCCTTCCCTTCCCTTCCCTTCCCTTCCCTTCCCTTCCCTTCCCTTCCCTTCCCTTCCCTTCCCTTCCCTTCCCTTCCCTTCCCTTCCCTTCCCTTCCCTTCCCTTCCCTTCCCTTCCCTTCCCTTCCCTTCCCTTCCCTTCCCTTCCCTTCCCTTCCCTTCCCTTCCCTCTTGAATCATCTATGTTTTTATGCTGCTTTCACTACAAGACCTGGTTTGTAAGGATTCTGGACGAGTTTTCTCATAGTAAAACAGAAACTGGTTCAGTCCTATCCTGTGTCAACTCTTGCATCTGGAGGTCATCTCCTGGTGTTTCATGCTCCATTGCAAATTACCTGACTTCATTCATTTATGTTTTGTACCCGCTACTCTTCTATACTCATCCTGACCAGACATCACTGCAGTGTTTCTTGCTTCAAACCCAAAACTGATAACAGAGCAGTTGTAATCCATGCTTCTGCCTACGTTATGTTGAGGTCTAAGACCTCATTATAATCTTAATTCACTCTACAGATAATTCAACCTCTGTCAGTGTATAAGCAGGTACTAGAAAAAATGCTTGAGTGAGGCAGTCCACTTGAGTTAAGGTTGACAGTCAGAGCTCTGTGGCCATTTTAAGTTGATGAAGAGTGACTCCTTATCCTGGATCTTCTTAATCTACCCAGCTCCCCACAGGCCAGCTATTGGGAATGACACAGAGATTTCTACCTGCCCCAGTCCTGCAGATTCTACTACATGGCTATAAAATGCATACCCATGCTTGTAACATAAATCTGCAGCATGAAAGAGAGGACAAAGTACTTCAATATTTTCACACCTGTTAAACTCATCAGTAAATTTAACAGTCAGTAAGTCATTGCATTATAATGGTTGTGCGATTGATTCAGCTAGGAGATATGTTGGCAATTTCCCAGCTGCCCGCCCTGCTTTGTGCATTGCCTGGACTGTCTGGCCTCTCTCTGAGACATGACGATCCAGGTCCTCTGAACAGCCTCAAATAATAATAAATCCTAACAGTACAAAGTAGCCAGTATTGTTTTGTGACCTGGTGAGATTTATGACTCACTGTACAGATCTTTCTTAAAACCAGTGCACACCACTGTGACCACGGCACAAATCGCTGATCCACCAACACTGAATGATGTCGATACAAGGAACTGGTTATAACGTATTTGTCAAAGACCACACAAGACGTTTATCACAAAACTGAGAAATAAACCATGCTTTCCTGAGTTCTGGCCTAGTCCTATAAGGCCTTCTGTCTTCTTTTATCTGCAGTATACCTCTTAAGAGAACCATTTGGCTGTTTTGCTACATTTTCTTTACTACTGTACTTCAGTGCATATTTGGTTTTTCTTTTCTTCCTTCAGGACAGAATTTCATAGCAGTAATTTTGACTGCAAAAGAACCATTGTTCTAGTTTATAATGGTCCGAGGGAATAAAAATACAAAGGCATTTCAGGTGTAACCACAGGGAATAACTGACAGATTAAAACACAAACGTTCCAGGCAAACCACATCAAAGCAAACATTTCAATTAATTTTAATACATGGGAAAGTAACTGTGCATTGAAAATGAATCAATTTAGTTTACTCATGCAATGCTAAGCCACAAAAGCCCTGACTTTGTCTTCTGCATTGCCTCTAGATATCCCACAATACATTCTGTCCTACAATATAACGTCTACAAACAATACAGTATGCAAAGCCGTGAATGTTCCCTTTTGTAATATTTACACCTTCACGGAACGGTACTGCATCACAATGTCAGCATCTGGGTGGTGAGGTGTAAGGCAGATATTAGAAGAGAAGAAATGAACAGTTATAAGAAGGTAACAGTTCATTTTACAGACGGATCTTTGGTATATCCACCTTCAGCGCTGAAAGCCTCCCAGGTTCAGTATCTTCCCTGAGAACATTTTGTTATTTTATATGTTCAATAAAACTGGATTCAGCCGTCTTCAATCAAGGCACAGTTTTCATAAACAGCATCCCTGAGGAAAAAAATAAAAATTGCTACAATGTCCTTCCACATGCATCACAAGGAGTGGTTGTGAAGCTCAACATGCAATGCCTAGTATGGAGCATACATTTTTAGACACCAAAACCTAGAAGAAACTAAAGGAATTAAAGATGCCTGAAGTCTGCACTCTGTGAAGAAAAGGAGACCTTTTGAATGGATGTCAGTAATTAGCGCACATCACGTCCTTAAAGAAGCTCGCATCAGTCCACATGAAGTGCTTAAAGCAGCTTAAGAATTTACACCACTGAGATTTCTTAAAGCAGCTTGAAAGGCACTTTCTGCTCTTTGTCTTTTAACGATGGAAGAGGCCAGGGGTCACGCCAGGAGTCGACCTTTGCTTCGCCTCCCGCCGTGCGCATGCGCCGGGCGCCCCCTCCCCTTCCTTCCCCCCTCCCTTCTTTTCCCCGCGCGCCCCTTGTCGTTACGTCACAGCGCGGCGCGCGGCGCCTTCCGCAGGAAGCGCAACCTACCCCGCTAGCCTGCGGCGCCGTGACGTTGGCATTGACAGACGGGCGTTTCAACCAATCAGAAGCCAGACAGCGGAGGTCTGATTGGCTGGCGCGCCGCAGTGGGCGGGCTGCAGGTTGCGGCGCGGTTTGGCTGCACCGACACCGGGTTACATAGGGCGGAGTCCGGCGTGTCCTTGGGCAGACGCCGGGCGGTGCGGGGCGGCCGGGGAGCGGCGGCGGCAGCGGGGCAGGTGCGGGGGCCGCGGCCTGCGGGGGGCCTGGGCTGAGGCCTAGCGGGCCTGGGCTCCGCTTCACACCGCGGCGGCTGGGCCCGGCGCTGCCGTGTCCCGGCCGGACCGTTGGGGACCGTTAGTGACCGTTAGGGACCGTTATGGCCGGGGGGGGCTGGCTGCGTGTAACGGTCGCGCCCGGCTGGGTGCAGCCCGGGGATGGGCCCTTCGGGGCCGGGACTGGGCGCGCGGGCCGCGGGTGTGGTGCCGGGAGCCAGCGCGGGGCCCGGCGGAGCCCCCCGGAGCTGCGTGACCTTGGTGCCCGCGCTGACCTCTCGCTGTGTTCCTGCTCTAGCGCTGAAGATGGGCGACGTGGAGAAGGGCAAGAAGATCTTCGTGCAGAAGTGCTCCCAGTGCCATACGGTTGAGAAGGGGGGCAAGCACAAGACCGGCCCCAACCTACACGGCCTGTTCGGGCGCAAGACCGGGCAGGCTGAGGGCTTCTCCTACACAGATGCTAATAAGAACAAAGGTGAGTGTAAAGCTGCTTCTCTGAGCCACTGCACAAAACATTCAGTCCTTGATGGCAGTCTTACAAGTACTAAAGGCTGCCAGAAAGCAAGATAACATGGAGGACAAGGAAGTAAGTATGTTTCAGCTTCTGACAGCTCTAACCATCTTATCTTCTTTCTTCCAGGTATCACCTGGGGTGAGGATACCCTGATGGAGTACTTGGAAAATCCAAAGAAGTACATCCCAGGAACAAAGATGATTTTCGCTGGTATTAAGAAGAAGTCTGAGAGAGCAGACTTGATAGCATATCTGAAAGATGCCACTGCGAAGTAGAAGATATCTGCTGCCTTATTTATTTCACAAAGGAGATGGCAATGCAAATATCTGTGATGAGATTGGTTTTTAAATGTTCTATTTTTACATGTACCATGTCTAACCTTAAAATTGGTCTTAACCAACAGATAACGTTGCTCATGGTGGGGTGCTGGACTACATGCTTGTTTGGCAGCCACTAACTTATGGAAGCTATGTAATTGGATTGGTTCAAATGAATATAATGTTCAGTCATTCTTGATTAATGGAATTAAAAACAAAAAACAAAACAATACTTCTGGCCTCTTTATTGTTTAAAAAAAAAAAACATTGAATGAGTAATTGTTAGTAATGGAACAGGATTAGCAGCCCAACTCTGCCAGATGAAAAAGGAGGATGGGCCTTGGCATCTTCCACCATAAGTCTGTGACGTTACTTTAAAGATTTACTTTAAAAAAAAAGTATATATATATAAAGAGAGAACTTTCTAAATTTGATCAGTACAGGGTGTTGTGGTATATATTAATCTGTCTAAAACTTGGGATAAGAACACAATTTCACTTTCTTACTAATTGTGAAATGGTAACTGTGCTCAGGCACTTTTATCCGGGGAAGCATGTTACTTGATTTATCTGGGCTTTGACAGTTGCATGCACCAGTAGATTATAATTCCAGAAACGTCTTCATATTTTGTAAATGTTGTTGAAAGCCTGTGTTCAGTAAATCTTCAGAAAACAACCATTTGTAGTGTAATGAAAGAAAAACATGTTCTGGAAAGATAATTACTAAAGACCAAGTTGAGAGTTAATAAAAGCTTACTTCAGCAAAAGCACTAACCTAAAATCTACTGTTTAAAAGCAACTTCTGATGAACAAGTACAGGAATAAATGCACTGGTAGACTAAAAGGAAATTGTCTTCCTATGTGCCTACCTGGAGCCTATATCACTACAGAAGGGTCTGTTTCAAGTGTAAAGCAGCATTTTAACTGCATTTTCTTCAAATTAATTGAATTGTACAGATGAATGTATTTACTGTGTACAACACAAGCACAACTCAGAGTGATCAACCTGATAAATTAAAAGTATTGAAAGTTTTGTTTTCTGTATGTGTCTGAAATTTAAGTGAGAAACAGTGGGGCAAAGAGGAAAGTTGGGTGTCTGGCTTTGTCATTACAAGACAAGCAAAAGCTCAGCATGAAAGGAGTAAATGCTAATGGAGCTAGTGTGAAAAGTGGTCGGTGTGGCAAGGTCAGAAAGCATTTCAAACCAGAACCAGCACAGCTAGGCTATCTTAACTGTTTTTAACACTACTTTTGCTGCACTTCCCAAATTGGAGGGGGTGGAAAACTCAAAATAGCATGGAAGCTGTAGGTATGCTGTAGAACTGATGTTTCTGAGTTATGTCAGGTAGAACAGCATGCTTAACGATCGAGTTCTGAAGGGCTGTTAGTCCCAGTACACGACAAGAATTAAGATAAACCACTGAGACAGTTTTGTTAGTGTTACTCTGTTTAGTGACTTTTTTAAAACTGAATGCACAAGTGTTTCCTGCAAATAGGAAGGCAGACCTAGTATTAACCAACATCAGTTTCCTTCCTTGTTAGTAGAGATGCTCAAGCTGTAGTTAATTACTGTCAGATTTTTTTAGAAGCAGTGTTTATTTTGGTGCATTTATGGCTATGCAGAACTCAACAGCTTTCACCATGCCAAAGTCCTCATTGAGCAGCCCTAGGTGCAGAAGGTAACCTCACCCATCTCTGCTGCCTTCTGAAATGATTAAGATGCTTTGCATAAAGAGCATTGTGAAGCTTTCTGTTCCATCAGCACCTTTATGAAACGACAAAAGACATTTTTTTTTTTTCAAGCCGTTCTTCCCTAGTTAGGCTGGAAAAGAAAGAGACTAGAGAGGATTTTGCAGTAAGGTGGCATTTAAGCCTGCGTAAGCAACAATTTAGAAGAATAAGGTTATGTAATTGGAAAAACTTCAGGAGAAAGCAGTGATGGCTTGATCAAAGGTAATTGTACACTCAGTTTAACTTGTTTGGCTTTATCTGTCTGCATTTTGGAGGCTTTTCTATAAGAGGTAGTGCAAGCTTATACATACCACAGGAGGCGGAGAAAACTTTTTCATTCTAGACTGGTGATGCATCCTTATTGGCATTTCGGAGGAAACCTTCCTCATTTCTAAGATTTCATTTCTCTCTATGCATACAACACTGGTTAGCAAGAGTTCACAAACTTTGTTGTAGTAAATAGCTAGCATCTGTTCCACCTAATACAATTGGACAAGCACGCTGCCACAGTATTTCTACAAGTGGCTCAACTAAAGTAAAAATATCAAAAGGAAGGATGTTAGATTGTCACCCATCGAGATTAATAGGAATGCAAGTATGAATTTGTTTTTTTGGGGGAGAGGTCCAAATGTGTTGTGAAATCAAACTTGAGTTCTTTGATTTCAAGTTTTACAGAATAGGAGAGTGAGGCTCATTTTTGTTTCATGAAGCAGCAAGTGTAGTGTTTCACTTTTTGATAATGCTACCAGTCTAAATGTGACATTTCAGTAGTTTCCTAGTAGTTCCAAATTAAGGAGTCAAAGCACCATTGCCAAAGATTGCTTAACCCCATAAACATCATTCTTGGCTGCAGGTTACATATTTGATGGGGCATGCCTTTGAAACTGATCTTGCAATGTTTTCACGTGTAGTTACGCGGATGCATTAAAATTGTCAATAATGACTAGACAAAAGGTAAAACTTTAAAATGCACCTTTTCATAGAGTGTGTTACGCTATCAGTGGTCCAAAACAAATACATGGGCTTCTCTTACGGGGAAGAACAGATATTGAAGTTGTAATAGTGAAGGAACTATGAGGTATTCTAGTCTTTCATGTATATCAAAGGCCAATAAAATGCACACTTCTGTATTACAACTAGCCACTTGTCTTTATCTAAAACACATCCAAAACTCTTCCAGGACCAAAGCCAACAAAACTCTGTGTTGCTACATGTAGGATGTGCTGAACGGTTTAAAACTGATGTCCTGAAAACCAGGTTATTCCAAGAGGGGAGCAGCCCAGAGCTAGCAAGAAGAAATGCTAACCCTGGGAAAGGGTGTGAAATCCTGTCCTTTTCCAATGCTGTAACGGCTGAGTCAGGACTCCAGATGGTTACATCCATCTGCTCATGACTCAGAGCTTGTATGTAAGTACTTGGATGTCTTTTCCCACGATTACTCTTTTAATCTGAAATAGAAAAAAGTATGATGGTCACCTTTTGAATAATTAATTTCTGGTCAGAGGTCTCACAGGAGGTGACAGACTTGGATTACATTTGTTTTGGTGACGGGATGCCAATTTACATCCCTAGATTTCTAGAAGGCTGCTTTAACCACCAAGCTGAATGTGTGCTAGGACAAAGATAATCTCAACTTCTTCTGGAGCTGTCATTATGCAAAAGCAGAGCCAGAAAGAAAATGAGCAAGGAGGAGCTAACTATAGAAGAGCATTCAAAACACATACCTTGGAGCAGGGAAGAAGCGGTGTTCTTTCCGGGTTGTTTATGCATTTAATTTTAAACAGCCTTGTATAAAAATAACCTGGCAGCAGAGATCAGAAGTCAATCAGAAGTCAAACCACTCTAGTGGTTTTACATCTCCCTAACAGGGTTCACAGCTTTCTGCTGTGGGACAATGTTTGTTTAGGTAACATTAATCCCTGCCTTGTTCCCAATCACCCATTTTCCAGATGCATCATCCTCTTCCTTATCATCCAGGTCACTGAAACACGTTTCTCTTCCTTACGGTACCCTGCAGAAATTTACTGCTCATGTCCCCAGTCCATCATGACTATCTGATGACAAATTCTTTTAAGATGTCTGATGGTTCTTAATCTGTGTGATATTGCCTTTTTTTGGCCTTCTTTAATTTGAAGCTTCTAAT